ATGAAGGGAAGGCTGAACAAATAGATTCATAACTAACATATAACCGTTCAAAAGAAAATTGTGCTGCGCAAATGGTTATGCGTGCATGCTTATATGTACTATAACTATAGCGAAAGGTCGTTTTTGTTATTTATTATATGGATGGGGCTATTTTACTGAGAATTCGAACTAAAAGACTTGTAGAATTCATACGCCTGTACATACGCCGGGGTACGGTGCGGATATGCGTATTGTCTAGGAGCATTGAACTGTTTATGAGTGGCATGAGTTTCGAAAATTTTCCCGACATTTTTTGATTGCTGTTTTTGTGAAAATACAAATGGTCTTTGGTTCGTATATAAAACGAAATTAACGTTGGGAATATTAGTTAACATGCACCGAAGACCGTAAGCGACGTTATATTCAGTTATGCAAATGTACGAACGTAAAAGTTCTAATTGTGATTGGCTAAATGTATAATAATTGCAAATGAGACGATGTATGCATGTAAGCATGTTGATGTTCGTTAAAAGTAAATAGTCGATTGCAATGTTTTCAAAATTCGTTATATTTTCGGTATTTTCCATAGATTTTGTAGCATAGGATTGTCGAAAAAGCACCCCATATACCTGCACCTGACACTATTAATTCTTATATGATGGTCGCGAAACAAGCACAACATTGTGAAATGTTAGAAAACAATTATAACTCGCATGCAATGCCGGTGTAAATTTCCATGTCATAAGATAAATCAAGACTATTAGTCCTTTGGGACATGCTCTCTCAGCACAATAAATATGGAAATATAAAGCAGTCTTTTACAAACAAACATTTATTGAGTTGAAATTACCAAGCTGCGAGAATAGATGAACTTCTAGTATAGAACTAAAAGTTTTACTGCAATCTTCAATGAGAGGACGCAGGGTAATCCATGAAGTCGAGCGAATTTTAGGGTCTACATAATGTCAAATGAACTTGAATGTACATGCATAAGCTAGATATAATGATCGATCAGTGTAAGGCCTGGATCACACTGGCTCCTAAGAATCGGGGATCCATTGTATTACTTTCCGATAGTCTCAGAAAAGCATTTTGCACACCAGCGGTCAACTTTGTCTGAGGACAAAGCCCAAAGGGAATCCCAGACAAGTGTAAACTAGGCTTAAAGGCGCTTTAAGATTAGAATATATTTTAAGCATTCAACTTGCGTTGAAAGAACTTATGCAAAACAGAACTGCAAACTTATTTTCGATTATGAATATATCATACCTGACACTAAACGTTCAACCAATGAGGACCTGGCATTTTACGGTAACGAACGAATTTGGCAGTCCCAGCCAATAGGGAACAATGATCTTAACGTAAGTTTCGTTCGTTAATGAGGTTATAAGTCCTTCGGTGCATGTTAACTAATAAAAACGAGAACACTTAAAGTGCCTATATCAACCTCAGGGAAATAACCTACTTGGATAGATCAGACAATTTTAATTAAGAACATTTGCAATATATTTGATAAGGCGAAAATTTGATCTTCATGTACTTTTCGGGCCTCAAAGTTAGCTTTTTTCGTGTTTGACCGTGAGGTGCTGTGAGTGGGAACTAGTTGCCCTTTTTCACCGGAAGTGACGTACATTGGAGAACACGCTAATTTTGTAAACAAGAAACACGCTTTAAAATATAGAAATATTGCGGCAATAAAGAGCCAAATCTTGTAGTATATAAACTTTTTGGTTCGTTTTTCGCTAAAACGACATCATCAGGTTTTCCGACAACTTAGACAGCCAACTTGATTCGGATATTTAATTCATCCCGGATTATGTATTGCCAATATTGGAAGTTGAAGACGATGCGATACTGTTGCTTTAAGAGGCGTGCCTACACATGATGGTTTATATCAACTTTACCAAGACAAACCGATTGCTGACGGTGCTGAGTATAATGAAGACTAAAGTGGGACGTGTACATGAAGAAAGAAGGCAGCTTCTTTTATTTCCCAAAACGGCCGGACTATCCTAGTGTCAGATTGGTAAATGAAATATATAAAGGCCTGTTGATTTCCATAAAGCTGTGTGAAAATACTGACATTTCACCCTATTGTTTCACAATCAATATAAATATATATGTTTTTGTAGGTGCAAATGTAAAAATTGCAAGATCGACTCTTGGTAAATGAAAAACAGGAGCGTTGAAACGTTGAGTGGAGAACTTGTCTTACAAGAAGTTAGAGAAGTCCCACATTCCATAACAATGCGCCCTGGTCGTTGCGTCTGTTTTAAAACATAGATGGAAGGAAGTATAAATGTGCAAGGTGATTAAAGGCTCTTTTCCACTCATCGCAAAACCCACTCGTAAGCTCGCTGCGAGTGCCTGCGAGTAATTCGCAGCGAGGTACTATGATTTGCAGCAAAGTTAAATAATCTGAACAATATTTTCTGCTTGCGCGAACAAAAGTTCTATTAGCCAATAAAATTCGTTTAAAATGTCACGTGACTGACAGTGAGAGCAAAATGGCTGCGATTGAGGAAGAAAACGTGGAAAATGATGTCAATGTTTCTATCGTTTGGACAAATACCAAGATTGAAATGCTAATAGAAAATGTTAAAAAATACAAAGTTCTCTTCGATGTCACATATAAAGAGTACAAGAACAAAAGTCGCTGATGAACTGGAATTTCCAGGTTAGTTGAAGATTTCTACCTTTTTTTTGTTTGTGTTCGCCATAATAAAAGTATTAGTTGCTTCCTTTCTGTTTAATATTTTACGCAGTGCTTGTTTATTTATCCCAATCGTATCTCAACTCAAGTTTGGAAGTTTTGAAAAGTAAACAACATAGGCGTTTGTTTTGTAAGAAATTAAAATGGCCTTTTAGTAATTCTACCATTACATTTATACAGTTCACATTTGTCAAACTAAATGGAAAGGACTTCGTGACACATTTACAGAAAATGTTCGACGTGAAAAACTTCCATCTGGATCAGGAAGAAAGAAAGTGATAAGATGGAGGTGGTTCGAGCATATGCAGTTTGTAAGAGATTGCATTTCACACAGAACAAGTTCCAGTAACATTGGTTTTGTGCCAACATACAGTGAAAATGAAGGAAAAGCTTGTCCAGAGAAAGGTGAATGCAGTGAAATTGAATTACGTACCATTGCAAAGCAGTAGCACATTGCCATTGGAAGTTTCTTCTCCTGAATTCGAAGTGTCAACCAACAACAAAACTAGTACAGAGAAGCTAGATTTAAAAAGAATGCCATCAAGTGTGCATAATTCTCCGATAAAGAAGAAAAAAAATGTTGACCAGGAAGTTGATATAGCACTCTTGAAATTGTTAAAAGAAGATAAAAGTTCCAATGTTGGCCAAAGTGAAACAGATGCCGAGGCTTCCTTTGGAAACTCAATTGCCCACACACTGAGAAGCTTTGATAATTATCAGAAAGCTTTAGCAAAGATGAAAATCACAGAAGTATTGTTTCAAGTTGAGTGTGGGTTGCCACTCACAGAAAATTAATCTTGGCTACCAAACAGTCTTTTCAAATTTGTTGAGGTTATACTTCGAACATTTTGTGTTGTGTGAACCTGTTTGTTCTGAATTATTTTATATAATAAATTGATATATAATTTATATAATTGATATACATATATTTGTTAATGTACATATATACATATATTTAATACAGTTGGAAAAAAATGTTGAAATATGTTATAAATTCATACAATTATTGTATTTTGCAATTGGTTATTAATTTTTAATAAATATTATCCTCCAAACTAATTACAAATTCATCGAATGATTTATAGGAGTACTATTATGTCTATTAATGCAAAAATCATACAAATGATTACAAAAAAGCTGATCACACAGTAGGAGGTTGCATTATTTAATCATGAGTGTGATTTTGTATTAATAGCATGACTATATACTGTAAATTCATTCTATTCCTTTTTAATTGTACACTCTTCTGTATAAACTACTAAATACAAAATTTGAATTTGAAATTGCAGTATTTGCCCCTTTTGTTTGATATATAATTATTTCAAAAATTTCACACAACCATTTTTCTGTATGGCTTATTTAACACAACCAATAAAACTATGCAGAATTGGATTAATTTGCATCATTACCATCTGCACGAACATGTTGCAGCTGCCATGAAACCTGTCCTGTTGCTGAACAAAAGTATTTCATTAGTTCTTCTCGTACTTGTGCAGCATCTCTAGTAAAAAAATTGCTTCCCTGCCTGCTCAGGGACTGAAGTGTAGTCTCACCAGTAGGTAAATGCCTCCACTGCCCAGCAACTAAATTACCTGATCTACAAATTGAAGGAATGATTAAAAACCTGTTAAATTTACCATACATCTTTGTAAAATGGTGAAATAGACACAGTGGGTAAGAATTAGGTGTTGTCCAAGATGGCATCTTGTAAACATGCCATCTACATATTCCTACCACTTGTAATTATAGGTGTAATTAAATTAGGTACAAACAATGCAAAATCTGCATTAAATTATCCAGGGAAAATTATTCAAATAGAAACTTCAAATTCAAGTAAAAATTTTCTTACCTGTCTTCACAGTCTGCAAATCCTGGTGGACAATACATCCTAGACCCAGCAGGTACATGCTGCTCAGAAACTATTAGAAAATTATGTAAGGCCACAACTGCTTTGGAAATACTTTCTACTTTGCTAGGGTTGGCAATAATTTCTTGTCTCAAGATGCGGAATCTCGATGCAGCAATGCCAAAAGCATTTTCTACAATCCTCCTCGCCCTTGATAAACGGTAATTAAAGACCCTTTTTGCTTCTGTCAGGTTCTTGCCAGGATATATGGACGCATGATGTTGCATCTTAATGGAAATGCTTCATCAGCCACAAACATAAAAGGTATCTTTACATTTGGATCCACACCAGCAAGTGGTTTTGAGCATGGTAAACCAAGTTGATCTGTTAACAGCGCTGCACCAAAGTGGGAGTTCTGCAAAACACCTCCATCACTATGGCGACCACAGTCACCAACATCAATCAATAAAAAGTATAATCAGCTGATACAACTGCAAGTAGGACAATGCTGTGCCACAGTTTGTAATTATAATATCTGCTACCAGCTGATGGGGGAGCTTGCATCCTGATGTGCTTTCCATCCATGGCTCCACAACAATGAGGGAAGTTCCACCGTCTTTCAAACTCTCCTGCTATTTTCTCCCACTCAAAAGAACTCTCTGGTGCTTTAATATATCCTGCACTCAAAAGAGTGGACCAGATTGCTTCAGTAACATCCCCAATTATTCTATGAACAGTAGTCAAGCCAATCCTGTAGCTGAATGATAAGCTTCGAGGGCTGTCACCAGACGCCAAATAACGTAATGTCAAAGCAAGCCTTTCTGATGAAGAAATAGTATCTCTTCTCCTGTTGCATTTGCCGATAAGAGGCTCAACCAGAGACAACAAGAAATCAAATTGTCGAGGGAGCATTCTAAAGTATGCGAAGTAGCTTTCGTGGTCTTCGTCTTTCATTTCTTTAACCAACTTGAAGTACTCCCCATGTTGTTCTCGTCTTAGGAAAATCGGCCTAACCCAAAAACGCTTTAAATACTTTAGGCGTCTTCGCCTACGACGTCTTAAATACAATAATAGCAAAAGGCGCCGATTAAAGGCAGCCGCCATTTTGCAAGTAAAAATAGCACGAAAATAGCACGCGAATTAATGGCAAAGCTAAGTGTGGAAATTGGCAGCGCGGTTTGAGACTCCTCGCAAGCTCGCTGCGAGGACGTTTTGCGATGAGTGGAAAAGAGCCTTAAAACAAGCAAGTATTCAACAATAACTAGTGGCTAATATGCATGTCCTTTAGCCATTTCAATTCAAACGTGATAATTTACAATAAATTCTCAATACTTCATATTGATCTATATTGTATATGCTTATGATTTCCAAAGACAAAGTTTTGAAGGTTTTAAAGATCTTTCCTCCAAAACTTTGTCTGGAATGGAATCCTAAGCACATGCTGACACAAAGGTATTCTTCTCTTTCCCAAGTAGCTATTTTTCAGCTTGTATGCAAATTAACCATTTCAAGTCACAATTGCATGCAAGCTGAAAAGGTCTATTGGTTTATGGCTACTTGGGAAAGAGAAGAATACCTATGTCGACATGTGCTCCTTATTCCATTTCAGACAAAGTTTTCGAGGAAAGATCTTTAAAACCTTCAAACAATATAGATCAATGCAAAGTGTTGAGAAGTTATTCTAAATTATCATGTTTGAATTGAAATGGCTAAAGGACATGCATATTAGCCACTAGTTATTGTTGAATACTTGCCTGTTTTTAATCACCTTGACCAGGGCGCATTGTTATGCAATGTGAGACTTCTCAAAGTTCTTGTATGACAAGTTCTCCATTCAACGCTTCAACGCTCCTGTTTTTCATTTACCAAGAGATCGATCTTGCAATTTTTACGTTTGCACCTACAAAAACATATATTAATATTGATTGTGAAACAATACGGTGAAATGTCAGTATATGTAGTGCTTTATATGTAATGATATAGTGCTTTTATATATTTTACTTAGCAATCTGACACTGGGATAGTCCGGCCGTTTTGCGAATAAAAGAAGCTTCCTTCTCTCTTCATATACACGTCCCTCTTTTAGTCTTTATTATACTCAGCACGGTCAGCAATCGGTTTGTCTTGGTAAAGTTGATATAAACCGTCATTTGTAGGCGTACTGTCTCTTGAAGCAACAGTATCGCATCGTCTTCAACTTCCAATATTGGCAATACATAATCCGGGATGAATTAAATATCCGAATCAAGTTGGCTGTCTAAGTTGTCGGAAAAACTTGACGACGTCGTTTTAGCGAAAAACGAACCAAAAGGTTGAACAGTTGATGGAAAAATGAATCAACTATAGGTCCTCCGACAGGAATCGAAACTACGCTTTTGCGATGCCGGTGCAATGCTCTTGCCACTGACCTACAGAGGTAGCTGACAAGAGCAAGCGAGGTGTGTAATGTGTATAATTATGTTGGTAATTCCGGGAATAGGTGAGGGTAAATCAATTATGACTTTAGCACTTGCCTCTGTAGCTCAGTGATCGCAAAAGCGTAGGTTCGATTCCTGCCGGAGGACCTATAGCTGACTCATTTCTCCATCAACTGTTCCTGGCTTAAATTTGAAGTGTGTATAAATTCACTCGAAAATTAATACCAATTCAACCTCTAGAATATATCCACAACGTGTTAAGTGCGAAAAATCATAATATTTTTGTAATATCTTTCGCAGCTTATTTACTTGTCGTATTTGCGTGCATGTATTTTTGTCACTCATAATTTAGTCCATATAATAAACACAATTACACGGTTCGCTCGAGTCAAAAACAATATATTTCTTATTTACTGCGCTCACTCGTGAGATATTGTTTTTACCATGCACTCGAACGTAAAATCCATATCTAATCGCAACCGCTTGTAATATCCTATATATACGTGCGTAGATAAACGGTTAAGCTGGCTACGAAGATATGGGACAAGGTCTAGCATTGCCATAAAAAGTACCGATGTAGTATGAAGAGCATGCGTTTTCCGGGACTTGTTCATCTGGCTGTTCGACCAGTTTATCACTGCATGTTCTGGCAGAATCTGATTCGTACCCAGCCGGAAAACAGCGGCATAAGGCGCTGACTCTCCGTTTGTGTCGCTGTGCCTGTTTTTTATCTTTGACGCTGTCGTCAAAGACAAAAAAGGAGTTTGAGTGGCTACTCTTGCTATCGGGGTGGTTTGACTCGTTGTTGTTACTAACAGTACTGGAATATACAGGATGTATGAGGGACACTTGCACACGTCATCGACATGATTGGCTGATCCTTATCCAGCCAATGAGTGTTGTAAGTTAGAAATGTGGGTTGGTGTTAGAAGCTCACTCCAGGTCCCATATCTTGTTTGTTTAAGGCGTTGTAGCACTAGTCGGGTTGGTATTCTGCACAATCGATGAATACTTAAAAAGGTTCACAACTTTAATATTTTTGATGACGCAAATGATCTTTTTATGACATTTGCATTTGTATTTAATAAAATTACTTTGCAGCCTAAAGACTGAATTACGTAATTTTTGCAGTTAAAACTATTGTATCAATAAAATTATAGCTATAACTATTGCTAAGAACTATTAAAATTATTAATATGTAAGATAATAAAATAATTTCATTTTAAAATTAAAATCGAACAAAAAGGTTAACTTTTGTTGACCTTATTACTCATAGCATATATAAAAGAGTTTGATACCCTATTTGTGTGGCTCATTGGAATATCGAAGATTCTTGCATGTCTTAGATTATTATTAGATTTGTTCCTCTCTAGCAAAAATTATGAATTTTATTGTTTGAATGCAACACAGCAGAATTAAATAGCTTGTTACACAGATGTTCATGATGAACTTTCAAAGATGGAATACCAAGTGAGTCTAATGTGACAGAATAATTTTTTTAGGTATAATAATGGCCATAGCTCTTTTCTCTGGCCGTTCCAAATCGTTTTTCAAGTATTGAGGTAGCGAATTGTAAAAAATCGGGATGGCATAGTCCATGACTAATCTAATGCATAATATATAAAAGGAGGCCAGGTTTTTACACGGAACACTTGCGCGTTTAAGTTGCTTGAGAAAAAAGAGTCTTTTATTAACCTTTTTGACGACTTTGTCTATGTGAGGTTTCCAAGTATTATTCATGGTAAGACCCATAAGTTTGTTAACAACTTCTACCTCTTTCCCATTGATTACAATTTAATCGAAAGGTCTCTGTACAGCGTTAAACGAGATTCGTAGTTCCTTACATTTTCCCGGATTAAGTTGCATTCTATTTGCATTCGACCACGTAACCACATTATCTGTATTATTTTGGGCGTTACTGATGGAATCCTTCGTAACAATTTCTGATACTGTCGAATCATCGATGTATTTCCAAAGATCTGCTTGGGTTGCTGTTAGGTCGTTTATGAGTAAAATGAATAACCAAGGACCTAATTTAGTTCCTTGGGGCACGCCAGATGGAGCTGGGCCTCATTCTGAATAACAGTTATCTGCTAACTTTACTCGTTGATATCTGTTAGTCAGAAAGTCTGATATCCAATTGATGACGCTATATAGTAATTCTAACTCTGATAGTTTCTGGATCAAAATTTAAATGATCAATAAGATCAAATGCTTTTCGGTAATCGAAGAGGATTGTTCTTACAATGGTGCCATTACCATCAATGGTGGTGGACCAGCGATGGATCATGCTGATTAACGAAATAGTAGTGGAACTTCTAGGAACCGCACCATATTGTTTTAAGTCGATGACTTTCAAGATTGCTGGTTTCACATAATCAACGACACTAAATTCCTCAGCGGCTTTAGAGATACTAGCGGTAAGTGAAATAGGTCTTAAATCTTTCTTTGGATCTCTTACAATTTTTGTCTTAGGCAAAGGTGTAATATTGGCCATTTTCCAAGTGGTAGGTACACGTTGCTCTCGGTATGAGGTGTTGAGGATAATTGAGATTGGAAGGGCTAGGATATATGAATAGTCTTTTAATACCTCATTTGGTAACTTATTGGGTCCACATGCTCTATTCGTTGGGAGTTTCGACAAAGCTTTTTGCACTCTTATTTCTGATACGTTTAGAAAGGTTGCTTTGTTAATTTCATTCGCTTGATCTCTTGGTGTAAGGTTAGAAAACGTTTCAACATTGGCTAAACTTATCGGTTTCCGTTTGGATGCAAGGTTGGAGATACGTTTAATTTTAGACCAATTTTTATCTACGTAAATGCATACGCCCCCATGGTCATCTGTCTTTCTGTCTCTACGAAAAACAGTGTATCCTGGAATACTAATGACACTGTCATCAATTGATTCCTTCAGCCAAGTCTCAATGATAAATGCGAAGTCAATCTGGGTGGTACGGTATAAACTCGGATACTTCATCTATTTTGGGTGCTAAGGATGTCACGTTTGATACACATATTTTTGGTACTCTAAGTTTATAATCACATTGATTATTCGACGGTAAACTAAGCAGATGAATTAAGGAATCCTGATTGTTTTGTCTTAGTGTGTTAAAACATCATCAACGGAGGTGGTGGGCATAGTAGTGCGGGAGGGTGTAGGAATGGTGTCGGTTGTGGAGGTACTCCGAAAAAGGGGTGATGTGTTGATGGTGGGGGATATGGGGGTACTCGGAACGAAGGATGATGCGTTAAGTTTGCCCATACTACAATAATCTGAAACATGGTCTCTAAACTAAATCCTTTACCAAAATCATAACAACTTGTTCCCTTTGGGAGATAAAAGCTTAATGCATTCTATACGCGCGAGAGGCAATAAAACTGTAGTTAATTGTATCAGTTTTTTACTCATCTTGTATACAATAATTCCCTTCTTATTTATAAGGAATATCAAAAAGCATCAGGATACAAGGACCATTCAGCTCAAAAGGCATCGGACGTGTTGAGGTATTCTACAATGGAACCTGGGGGACAATCTGT